TGCATCAAGCTTTCGCCTCCATTCTGTGTTTGGGGTGGCCGCCGTCCTGGGCTAAGATTCTGAAAGCCTCAGCTTTCTGAGGGTCTAACAGTTTCAGGAATTACTAAAAGTACGAAATCCATAAACAGCCTCAGGAATGCTGGCTGAAAATGGCCACTGGGCAGCCGACAGCTCAGAGCTTGATGGGAGTGATACAGTCGGCTCTCCCCTGCTCAGCCTCAGCTTGACACAGCAGCAAGGAAAATGAAAGCTCATACTACGCTGAAGGTCACTGCCATGGGATGGTGTAACTAAAGGCCGAGGAGGCAGGGAACATTGGCACAGCCAAATGTTTGCCAAACTGATGGATTTTGCTTCTGACCTGCACTCAGTGTGAGTGGGTACATTTGATATTTTTTTAAACTTCTTTGTTTATAATAAATGATGCCATCTACAGTGTTCTGTGGTTAAGATACAAATCCACAACGGAGGGAGAAATTTTGTTACTTTTTGTTACTTGCTCATTCATCCTTGGGAAAGCCATTCCCCAAGGTTCTGCCGGCTTTGAGGGGGCCATGGTTCTGCACAGAAGCTCTTCAAAAACATATCTATGGGTTCTTGCGTGCAGGCTGCCCAGCTAACAACCATGCCACTCCCAGGGAGGCGAATCTTCTAACAGAGACTGTTCACTCTCAGCGAGCCAGCTGTCGCTTCCGGTAGGGCTCATTAATCCCCTGTCCTCTTCCGAATGGCACTGTGCACACATTAGCTTTCACGGCTGCGGGCTGGCAGATTCAATGAAATGCAGACCTAATTCTGACATGCGCACTCCCCCTTCAGCCCATCCTCCAGCACGCTGCACCCAGTGGAAACCCACATGCCTGTCCTAGCCTGTCCCACTTTTAAGAGTAACCACAGAAGACAGGGGGAGATAAACATTCAGACACTCTGGTGGGTGGTTCCGGCTGAGTGACTTTACATTATTGTTCACCCCAAGGGTGACATTTTCCATGACTGTTTAGAAAACCAGATGTGCAGCATCTCTTCCCTTTTCCAAAGAGTTTGCATGAACTCCTGGGAAATGCCCAGCACGTGGTCTTAAGCTAGGGCAGGTCTGTCTATAGATGGGAGCCTATCGCCAACACTGCGGAGAACTGACAATACCACTTTCCAAAACAATAAAATGCCTGCCTTTTAAAGCTTTGTTCATGACTGGTAACATTCTAGTTTCTAACTAGATCACTGCTGGAAAACTTATTCCATGACCTCAGGTCTCCCCAGGGATTCTGGCACACTGACGCACTTCCTGATGACTCCAAGGAGAGGCCCCTTTGAAAGTTATTAACCCCATCCTGAGTCACATTGTTAGGGAAAACGAAGGTGGGTGGGGCACAGACAACTGTTCTGATTTGTATATGAAGAGACAGAAACATCCCCTTAGCCTGCACTGCAAAGGCACCACGATCTTGTTGGAATCTGCAATGAGGGGCTGGTCACAGCATCCTCCCACGTGACCCACGCCACTGTGGGCAGAGGAGACAGGTGAGAAGTAGCAGCTGCTGAACAGACTGCAGGAGTAATCCAGAATGCCTGTGGCTGGAAGGCTGGGCCATGCCCAGTGCCAAAATCTGCACCCTTACACCAGCAAGCAAGCAGCCAGGGCGGGGACTCCAGGCTTTCTGTAGGAACTCTCTGAAAAGCCTGGAGTTTTCCAAGTACTCCCTGAGCCTCCTCAGGATCTCAAGTCTCCAAATCAAAAGGAATGCAAAATAAATAACATGATAAAGTTTGTTATCAATAGTGCATGTGGGGGATTTGGTTTTCAGGGTGTCCTTGTAGTACTCACAGTAGTACATTTAGTAATTAATATTTAAAGCCAATTCCTCTTCACACACACTATGATATTTTTTCCAAAGCGTCACCATGTATTTTCATTTGGGTGTGTGTTTTAAGTGGTCAAAGAGAAACGTGAAACACTTTGTGCATGATGGGAATTTAAACAAATACTTCTTTATTTTTCCTTATAAACTATGTTACCAATGCAGTGTTGCCGGCAATGACTTCAGTTAAACACCAACCACAGAGCCCTGCAAGGTTGTTCCCTGGCTTTGATAGAAATGAGTAGTCTCTCTGCTTAAAAGTCTATCTAATGAATATCTATCTTCTGAGACAAATTTTCTGGATCTAAGGAGGCACAAATACTCAATAGACTTGATCTTACAATGGTCCTGAGTTACGCCTTAACCAAATGAATAGATGAGCTGACACTGGAGTGAACTCAGGAACAGCCCGATGGCTAGTAACATTGTAGCCACCCCTACTCTACCCCCCAATACTGACAGGTGGTCAAGTCAGCAGAGGACTTCTCTGCATCCAGGAACATCAACATTTGGAGTAAGATGACAGAGACAGGGGCTGGAGAGATGGCTCAGAGGTTGAGAGCACTGGCAGCTCTTCCAGAGGTCCTGAGTTCAATTCCCAGCAACCACATGGTGGCTCACAACCATCCGTTATTAGATCTGGTGCCCTCTTCTGGTGTGCAGATATACATGGAAGCAGAATGTTGTATACATAATAAATAAATAAAATCTTTAAAAAAAAAAAAAAAAAGATGTCAGAGACATGGCCCAACAGCCACCTCGGTGTATGGAACACCGGGCTTAGAGCCAGGCACTCACCTGCCGGTTGAGCGGTCCCCCTTCTGCGTTCTGAAGCCGAGATCCATTTTCGCTGATCTGTCCCGGGGAGTGTGGGGCATGCTCTCCCACCAGAAGGCTGCAGCCTCGGTCAGGGTCCTCTTGGTATGTTCCATCGGTCTGGTGACCCCCCTGTACGCTAAGCTCGGCAAACCCAGGTGCATTCTCTGAATGTTCACTCTGAAAGCAGCACCCAAGATGATCATTCAACTTGGCTTAGTTACATTCTGCTGTTCTAGAGACTGGCTTTTCCCCGACGACAGCGGCTCATTACGGGAGAAGCCAAGACCTGCCTCTGTGAGAGACCAAGCTCCTGGTCTCACACAAGCCTCCTCCTCACACTGGAACTGTGTGGCCTGTCGGCTCACGGCTAGCCTGCAGGTCACCCCCTGAGATGCTAGCTTCACTCACTGAGCCTCTTACACTTGAGGAGCTGTAGTGATCAATTTATTAGAACAGATTAATGAGGGCTGGAGAGATGGCTCAGAGGTTAAGAGCACTGGCTGTTCATCCAGAGGTCCTGAGTTCAATTCCCAGCAACCACATGGTGGCTCACAACCATCCGTAATGAGATCTGGTGCCCTCTTCTGGCGTACAGGCAGAATGTTGTATACATAATAAATAAATAAAATTGTTTAAAAAATTAATGAAAAGTTTTATTCTTGTAAATTACAACTGCTCACGGTGGCAGTTTTATAAATGACAGGAGGAGGAATTCCAGTGTGCTGATCAACAAGACACATCACAACCACATCTAGGCTTTGCTTAACCATGTCTTTCCATATCACGGACCCCAGGAACCTGGCTGAATTTTTTTTTTTTTCGAGACAGGGTTTCTCTGTGTAGCTTTGGAGCCTATCCTGGCACACGCTCTGGAGACCAGGCTGGACTCAAACTCACAGAGATCCGCCTGCCTCTGCCTCCCGAGTGCTGGGATTAAAGGCGTGCACCACCAACACCCGGCAATGGCTGAAATAATTTTTAAAGATGTTCTTCCAGCTAAGGAGAATTACCATTGGCAGTATTCACTGGAGTTAAAAACAGGCAAAAGGCTTCAGCAGCTCAGAGGCTCCAACACTCACAACGCTTGCGCGGCTGAGGTAGGAGCTTGCGCGGCTGCAGTGGCCGCCCACTGTGTATAAGGGTACTTTGACAGAAAGCAAGACTGGGGAACAGACGGGACATGCAAAGTCACGGGCCACTCTGACTTGTGCTGTAAAGAGCTGGTCGGTGACAAGTACGGTGGCCCACACTTGGGACCTCAGCAGTCAGGAGACTGAAGTACAAGAACTTGTGTTCAAAGCCAGCCTAGACTACATACAAAGATCATGTTTCAAAAACAAAAACCTAAGGAACACGAGGTATGGCTCAGTGGCTAAGGACACTGGCTGCGCTTGCACAGAGAGGGACCTGGTTTAGTTCCCAGCACCCACATGGCGGCTCACAAACATCGTAATTCCAGTTCTCGAGGGACTTGACACCCTCTTCTGGGCTCTGTATGCCCCAGGCACACGCATGGTGCCCAAGACATACATGCAGGCAAGACACCTGTATACCAAACAAACAAACAAAACAAATAGAAAGCAACAAACCCTCTCTCCAAATTTAGGAATTGAGACACATGGGGAGAAGACATACAACTGTCACAGGTGACAAAGTGACCATGTGAGGCTTAGGAGAGATCCCTACAAAGCTGGAGGGATGGGCTCCAGCACAGGGAACATTTGTGCGCCAGCTTTTATGTAAACCAGTGGGTTTGAAGGCAACAGTGAAGGCCTCAGGGTAATGACTTTAAGGACTGATATCCACCCACAACAAAGGAGGTGTGAACAAACCGTTCCAGGATGGAATTAAGGATCTCAGAGCTCTTAGAACCAAGTCCAACTACAGCACTCGCTCAATTTCCTGCATGCCCAGATAGGCCACTCTTGTTTTCATGGCTTGGATTGATATTGAAGGATAAACAAAAACAAGAGGGTACAACGGGAGAGACAGTGGTGTGGGGGTGTCAAGAATAAAACAGATGCAAATTAAATGGGCTGCATGGGTGGAGAGGGCGTTACCTCCGTGAAATCCTCCCCTCCTGCCTCCATCTGCTTTCCCTGGCGCCAGTGTTTCAGCAGCCACCTGAGCTTGACATAGAAAAGGAAAATGTTCTGCTTCAAGGACCGGAGCTCCTGCTGTAGCAGATTCTTCTCGTCACTCCAGGTTCGCTTGTGGAGGGTGTTCTGCAAGGCCAGGCTGTGCATCTCCAGCTCTTTCCACCGCAGAGCATAGAGGTGGTCCTCCTCCATCTTGAATAGAATCAACAAGAAGCTATGGAAAGCAGTTGGCCCTATGCGCCATTCAAGCCCAACCAAGGTTCTCAAGAGCAGTCTGCTGCCCAACCCCGATGGTTCACAGGGGATGTGAAGCATGGGAGTCCTTCTAAGTTTAAGGTGATTAAGGACCTGACGTACGAAAACCTCATGAATTTTGTGACTTTAGAAGCAAGTGCTACTTCAAAGGAAGGCACTGAAACCATCTTCACTGTCAACCTTTCTCTGTGCTTTTTGGATATTTCCATCAGGAAAATCTGAACGCATGGCTTGTGATTGAGTCAGACGCCATTCAAGGAGACCCCACTTCCCCTGTGAGCCTGTGCTTGGCACACAGGGACTCATCACTACGGCAGAGAAAAGAATCCGAAATCCACCTCTCACTTCCTGAGGCTTCTGGCTTCTCTCAAGCCTTGGTAGAGAATACTGAGACAATGGAAGACCTACTGTGCACTGGAAAGTGAGCAGTTGGGTCAGGAGGAACTGTTCCTGAGCGTGCAGGACTCAACGGCGTACACCAGCAAGCAAATGTGACGACCCGGTTCCAGGCTTTAGACTGAGCATGCCCATTAAATGTTCACCACTCAGGGAAGCAAAGGCATCACTGAAGAATTACCCATCTTCATCTCTGCTTTAAGTTCCTGGGCTTTTTCTTCTTATAAGTCAGGGTCTCACTATGGCCCTCAGCCTGCCTTCCTATTCCTGGGTTAAAAGCAAATCCCTTGCCTCACCCTTCAAAGTAGCTGGGACCACAGGAACCACAGACATATGCCACTGCACCTGGCTAAGTCCTTTTTTCTTTCTTTCTTTTTTAAAATATCTATATGGAGCTCTTTTAAGCAGGAAGCAATTGCTGTATCAGTACTAAGCAAAAAGGTGCAAATAAAATCTTATTTTGCAGATAAAGGCTCCAGGATAACCTTCGCTGTAGTGGAAGGGATACCGGAAACCAAAGACTTCTGAAGCAGACCAAAATGAACGTTAGAATGTCAGCCCTACCGCTGCCTTCTGACTTCACGCTTAGACCAAAGGCCAAGGAAGTGGTTTTCCCATAAAACACTACATTAGTCCTCAAGAACCATAGGATTACAACTACGACTGCCTGGTGGAGACAGCAGTGTGGCCAGTGTTCTAAATGGCTCTGACACCTCTGAGAAGGTCCACATGGCTGTCCAGGGACCTCTCATCTGCTCTACATTGGATTTCAAGCTGAAAGAGGAAACTCCACTAATTCATCCTCCACCTCAACACTCCTCAGGGTCACAATGCTGTTATCCAGGTAGGGATGTGATGGCCTAGAGTGGGGAAGAGCCTGCTGCCCTGGAAACCCAGCTCTGCAGCTCCTCACTGCATTGTCCCCCACTGGGGACATTCCAGCTACCTCAGTGGGAAATGAAGACAACAGTAACTACTTCCATGCTGCTGTGGGAAGGTGTCAAGGCTCAAGGAGCCGGGCCTCTGAGGTGCTATACAGACAGCTGGCAGCACCCTATCCAGACCCTAACCTCCACACTTCTCTGTTTTCTTTTTTGTTTGTCCGGTAGGCGCCTCTAGAGCTCAGAGCTTGGCCTTTTGCTTCCTTTCCTTTCCCTTCTCAAGAAGCTAAAAGATAGCCCCTCTCTTGAAGCCTTTTCAACACACTTCTTTAGCGTAAGACCGAATGCTGCACACACCTAGGACTCTGCCGCTGTTGTCTCCAGTGATGGCCTCTCCTTGCAATGCATTTTTGGAGCAATGAAAACACCTGCGTGTATGTGCATATGTGTGTTTGGGCAGGGCATAGATGTCTCTCTCATGTAAGCCTCTCTCTTGTTAATATGTGAAATGTCACTTCTACACGAAATTTTGGAAGGGGTGTGCAGCTGCAAAAGACGCAGCAGGAGACACTTAAGAGTCTGGCATCCAACTCTGCACTTTCTAAGCTGCAAGGTATAGCAGACATTCTCCAATCAGCCCGTGACCCATTTAGAGCCTCTTGGCCCGGTCACCATGGAGGTATATGCCTGCAGCACACATTCCCGGCCAAAAAGATTCTTGGAGGTACCGGTTGACTCATTTTGTATAGTTTAAGTGTTTTGGAGCATCAAGGTTTATTATTCAATGCCAGCTGCTCTGTTTTGCTTCCTGTTGAAGCCAGAGCTCTCTTCGAAGAACAAGCACAAGGGGAGAGGGACAAATGCTCAATTCTGCATCTAGGTACCCGCTCACAACTTAGTTAGATGCAAGGTGGCAGGGCAGTGTCCTCGGAGACCCAGGGCAGGAGCACCTGGATCTGGGAATCCCTTGGTGGATAAAGAATAATTAGCTTGCAACACATAATTTTAAAAATAACCACAAGTTAATCAGGCCATAGCTGATTAGTGGCAGGTTTTTTTTTTTTTTTTTTTGAAAGGCAACACTTTGGGGTGAGTTGATGTTTTTATTGGACAAGTCCCTTCACAGGGACAGAACACTGCCTGATCACATGTGAAACCCTGTTTCATGTTAGTTTACTGGGAAAGTTCAACTAGATCTGAAGATTTTTCCTGAAACTACATTTCTCCCTATCCAAGGTTTTGCTTTCTGTGGTTTGTTATCTGTGGACCAATCACAGTCCAAAATATTAAATAGAAAATTTCCAAATAGCTAATTTATCCCCCTTAAATGTTTACTGCAGGATACTGTTAATAATGTTTAGTTATTGCTGTTCATGTTTACTGTGCTTGATTTGCAAGTTAAACAATACAGGAATATACAGCATATGAGAGGCTTGGTACTCTCTGTGGTTTCGGGCATCTCTGGAATGTTCTAGCACGGCATCTCTGAGGATTAGGAAAGAGAACATTACTGAAAAAAATGTGCTGCAGAGTGGAAAGGTGGAGTCTCTCAACCGAGTGACCTGCTCATATGCCTGTGTGTCTTGACACCTGCATGCAACAGACAGCGTCGTTTTAAAATGCACCGTGGCAGTGCTCCTGAGGGACTCTGCAGTCCTCCAAGGTGTGCTGGGACCCTCATGAAATATTTACCTTACGGATCTTGTTTGTGTATGTCTCTGTCTCCTCTTGATGCAGTCTGGCCGCCTGCGCGAGCTGACCCTGTAGCTCTTCTACCGACACACTCTGCTCAGGTAAAACGGGGGAGCCCCTGAGCTGATTGGCAGGATAAAGGAAGGGTTTAGTGGAAGTGAGAACTCTGCCTCAGGTGATGACGCAGGACACACATCTGTACAAGGTGACACACACGGGGAACACAGCAGTGGAGTGACCACGCAACCTCCCCAGGGCTTCTCACAGAGGAGCCCTGCTGCTCTGGGCTCCATGGCTGTTTGAACTGCCCTGTGTCTTTTTTACGTCGGAGATGAGGTGGCTAAGTGGGAGATTTTAGCCACAACCATGAACCAGCCAAAAAAACAAAACAAAAAAAAAAAACAAAAAAAAACAACAACAACAAAAACCGGCCAGGGTGTACCAGAAGGTTCTCTGCTACTACAGCGGCTTCTAGGTGGGTGATAACATTCAAGTAGAAGGACCCCGGTGACAACACCTCAGTCCAACATGGCCACCATCACACAACACCTAGATTCACTTCCCTGAGCCATCAGGCGTCAACTAATCTGGCCATATGCTTGCATACTGGGGATTTTCCCACCCCACCAAAGGGGCCTTTAATCCCAAAGCATGGCCATGGTCACTCAGAGTAAGTGTGGCTCCTTCCAGGACAGACACCTGCTCTTAAGCTTCTCTGTGTTCACACCAAATCCAGGGACCAAACAGATCTATCAATACCACACTCCATCCTAGGGACAGGCCAAGAAATCTGTACCATTATTTTTATTGATAAGGCTTATACTTTATGACCAATGTCCATGACAGATCATTCATTATTTTTGAAGGAGCATTTTCTTAAAATCTGAGGCACCATCGAAATTTAAGCAAAATGTTTCCCACTAAGTTTGTGCTACTTAAAGGCAGGCAATTAAAAAAAAAAAAAAACATAAGAGGACCGGGTCTCTTTACGTAGCCCGGGCTGTCCTTGAACTCACAGAGATCCTTCCGCTTCTGCTCTCAAAGGTGTGTGCCACTACACCTAGGTGGTTTTAAAAACTAGGACCTCGAATTGACTATTGTAGTAAAGACACATGATCTCTGGCTGCCTTTGCCTGCCTTTAATTAATTTCTACTTGTTGCTGAGAAAACTGTTCTAGATGTTGGTGTTAACCGGGCTTGTCATTGGGCGAAGGCTACACCCCCAGGACAGAAGGGGCATTATTCAAATGGGCAAGCGCCCAGGCAGAGACAGCTAGACACTGAGGATTTGACAGCCTTGCAGTACACTGTGGAGTTTCAAAAGATGTAAACTCAATGGGAATGGTAGCACCTGCCTTCAATCCCAACATTTGGGAGGCAGAGGCAGTTTGAAGCCACTCTTTCTGGTTTACATAGTGAATCTTCTTTGAGTTTATCATGATGGCTAACTTCAATTCTAGAGGCTTAATTTCTTATAAAATATGTGCCGACTTGTGGAGTAACAACTTACTCTTTCCTTATGCCTGTCTGGAGCAGTGAACAGCACACTTACTGCTCACCGTCCGTTTGATAATCTCATCTGCTATCTGGAGATCTCAGTTGGATCCTGCTGTTCGCTTACTCTTCCATTTTTGTTTGGTTTATTAATTTTCAAGTTAGGTATTTTTATAAATAAAAATTCTTTGCCTGTTTCATACACATCTGTACTGTATTTGGCTCGTATTTGCTACCTGTTCTTCTCTTTTGTTCCCCCCCTCAACTTGCTGTCTTCCCCACACTTTCATGTCATTTTTGTTTAATCAGTATTGTAGGCATGTATGAGGCTACTTCGCTGCTCTATCTGGTGGGCGGTTTTTTAACTGTGTGTTTGAAGTTCTGCACTGTGAGCTCATCTTCAGTGGGAATTTATTTAGTGGTCTTGCATATGTCTTGGTTGTCTGGTTACAAGTTGACTTTGTGTTTGCCAAAGGCATCGTTTTTTAGACATAATCCTTGAAGATTCTTAGAACAAACTGGTAACATAAGTTCAAATCTTGGTTCTGAGTAAGGTCAGCCATAGCTCCTTTTCCCCTCAACCCCACAGCCTGTGCTGGTGGACAAGCTGCTGCTCTTCACTTCTGCCTGCCAACCTGTAGGCGTACTGTTTCCTGCTTGTGGTTGCCTCCCCCCCCCAACACCCTGTCTTCGGTTCCCTTGGAGCTACTGAAGCCAATGGTCATCACCACTGAGACTAACATCCAAAGCCATGTGTCTAAAGGCCAGATACTGCTCTCCGTCCACTTTGAAGTGATTTTCAACTCTAGAAGATACCTGGGAATTCGCTATTTAAATGGATATTATAGATATATTTTTTTAATTTATACATTTACTTACACATGGGTGTCTGTGTGAATTTATGTGCACCTGTATATGAAGGTGCCTACAGAGGCCAGGTAGAGGGTTTCAATGCCTCTGGAAGCAGCATTATACTTGATCAAGTGCTGCCCAATGTGGGTGGCTGGGAACCAATCCCAGGGCCTCTGGAAAAGCAGCAAGTGCTGTTAACTGCTAAGGCATCTCCCCAGCCCTGGTATGCTTTACATTCTATACAGTGTAATTGGGTACTTACTATTCTGGGCACCACCCACAGCACTGGGGTCACAGCAGGGAGAGCTCTGCAGCTCAGGTATTTTCTACAGGGCTATTTCAGGGGGCCTGAGTGCTGGCTGCCAACTTTACTTTCCAGTTACACGTTATGGATTCAAAATGTGAATGCCCTCTATACTTCAGCGTCTTAGATACTAGCCAAAGGGTTGTATTACTAAGACACAAAGCAGGCTTTCTAGTCAGGGTCACTGTTAAGAAAAGCATATAGTAAGATACCTTGGGAATAGCACCTAAGACTAAATGAAAAACTCATTTAAAGTTTTATATACATCTTAAACACACAGTCTGAAGGTAATTTTATACAGTACTTTTTAATAATTCTGTGTGTGAGGCTGCATGGTATGGAAATTTCTATTTATGGAATTCTTCAGATATTCAAAAGTTTCAGACTTAGCATTTCGGGTTCCAGTTCAGATACGCTCAATCTTACATGACCTCAGCTTTAATCTTAATAAATATCTAACATAATTATAAGGACATAAGCCTCATTATTCAGCAACATGTGATTGACAGCATGCATTTCTGTTTGAATCACACTTGTGCAAGGTCTCAGAGATTCCTTGACGTCATCTGAGGGTATTCACCTGGGGCAACAGATTTATTATGGATGGCCGGTACTGGCTGTGGAGACCATGTACACTTAGAATCCTGCTCTTTCAAGTTTTCTTTTCATGGGCTCTCCCTTTTGGCAGCAGAACACTAGAACCCTTGTGGTCACTCCAGTGTTACAAAGAACAAAATACAAACATACTGTGTCAAAAAGCCCTTCAAGAATGATTCTACTGCCACACAACTGCAAACAATCACATAACATTTAGGGAACATTTGCACACAACACAAATTTCCTGTAGAAAAATAAATACTTTAATCACCAAATCCCCAAAGTCTGAGTTTAAAAACCATCCATTGCTCACTTACCTATTTTATCAGAATAGATGAGCTCGCTCTGATTTTTCAATTATGTCAGTCTACTTAAACACTAGACATACTTGTTCTGAGGCTGCCGAGACACCAACCTCAGCATCAGATCAGACCCCCCTCCCCCAACCCCCATCCTCGTCAGCATTCCGAAACCCACCTCCCTGCTCATCCATGCTGCTAACTTTTTGACCAGGTCCAGATAAAACAGCTTGTAAGGCTTAAGAAGATGCTGTCACTATCACAGTAAGAGAGAGGAGAACAGAAGAGAACGCTTTCTCACTGTGACCTGCTCCACCACCCAGCAATCACTTATAGAGTAGAACCCCACAAGTAATCTAGGACCATGACTTCATTTCTGGTGAATTCTATCTTGTCCTGGCCACTTTTCCCACCATTCCTTTCAAACTCAGTAGATGAGGTCCACACATGCACAAATACTTGGCACAAGCCCCACGTAGTTTTCCTGGGATTGGTATTTCACAGCTGAGACGTGGGGGGCCACAGATGCCGTGTGGTTTAGGGATAAAGAGGAAGAGCACTAGAGAAGAGCCCTTTGAGACCTCACACAGAAACTCAATCCTCTGGCACCGGCTTGGTTTCATTGATGCGGGAACCCGACCAGTGTCCATGCTTGGCCCCTTCTCTCAGGACTATTTTTAAGGAGCCTTGCACATTCCATATGAAATGTCCTATGCAATGCTTGCTTTTAACAAACGTCAATCTCTTGGCACACTTAACGGGGCAGAATCGGGGAACCAGGGCACACTGCGAGCCTACTGCCAGTCCATCCTGGGGCGGACAGGCAACAGGAATGTTGACCCTTCTAAGCCTGGTTGTTCATAAGTTATTTGGCTGTTAATTTCTGTGCATTTGCATTAGTGAGCTAGCAGGTGTGAATGGGCTCTGACTTCTACCCTAGAGAACGCTGGCCGGGCACACCTTTCCTTTCGTAGGCTTGGTGGAGTGTGGCGTTGGAACGGCAGGATGTCTGTTTTACACCCTGCTTGCTATCTGCGGAGAGTGGACTTGCCGTTTCCTGCTTGCTTTTAGCCACACTAGTGTGACTAGCAGTGGCCACAGATTAAACCTGGCCAAAAAACAAAAACAACCCCCCCCAAAAAAACCCCAAAACAACAACAAAAAGCCAGATCTTCCAAAGCAGCAACTTGCCCTCCCTCCTCCAGCCTCAACAACAGCACTTAGAAGTCCAAAACCACAGAAGGCGTCTCACAAACTGGGCTGGAAAAGACTATCCTTTTAAAAACACTTCGATCTAAATTCTGAAGGGTGTTTTGTTTTTTCATGCAGGGTTCTTGCCCATCCCCGACTTCCATCCAGAACCAAGGACAGAGAGCTCATGGAGTTTTGTCCAAGTGTCAAGTTGGCTCAAGGACAGACTCTGTGGTTATTTAAAGGACAATGCAAGAGGGGACACAACAACTGCCAGCAGGGCACACCCCAGCTGCATGCCAGGCCTCACTCTGGATCACTGGCTACACTGAGACTGGGGTGTGGCTTCATGGTAAAGTGGTTGCTTGGCATGCACAAGGCCCTGGGTTCAAGCCCATCGTAACAAAAGAGAAGTGCCCATGTTTCCTTCAACCACACCCCACCCCAGTGACTCCGGAGTCCATGCGAATGTTCAATGCAGGACATCTCTGTGCTCGGACTGCCCTGCAAACTCCCAGGTGCTCCATGCAGCCGTCATGCTGTCCCCTCACCCGCAGGGAATTTAAGGGCGTCTTCACTGGGAGGCTTTTCTTGCTCCTTGGAATTGCCAATTGAACAGTCTTCTAGCAGAACGTTATACTGTAATCAGCAAGGCAATGGGAGTGACACACTGTTCCGCCCTGACTGGAACCCCACAAGGGAGGGCTGTTCTGACAAAAGGAAAAGCTACAGCAGGACCAAGGGCTACTGAACAGTTAATTGCATGTTTAAAAGCAGATGTATTTACATCCTTGACCCTTTTTCTTTTCCATGTGAAACGCCTCTGTGACCAAAATGAATGTTTCTCAGCCCTTCTGGAAATGATGCTCCCTTCACCTGGCCTCTCCAGTTTTCTAAAGGTATTCCCCCTTTAGCATACATGCAATTGAAAGGAACCTTGACATACACTCACAGAACAGTGGTGCTATGTAAGACAGCTGGCCGCCAACGACAGTGGCCGGAAATACAGCCCTGGAGAGCGTAGGCTCTGGGCTGCCGGGCTCTGCTGTCACAGAACACTGGGGTGGGCTGAGAAAACTGTTCTGGGCTCAATTCTGTTACCAACTGGCTTGAGAGGTATGGGGAGGAGGGGCTGATGGTCACTGTCTCTTTTTGCAGGTCACAGAATAAGAGTTGAGTGTGAAGATGAGATGACTCCTCCTGGGCCATTGGTGACGTCACCACCCACCTTTCATGGACGGAGACTGACTGTCCCTCTGTATTTGATTTAATTCAGTTTTCTCTCAGCAAAGCTGTGGCTAGTTTCTGAAGGCTGTGATGCCCGTGTGCACACAGCACCTTACCATCACTTCAGCACCGATAGAACCCAGGGGGGCGTCTCCCTGGTGAAGAGCTCTGAGGCTTACAGTCCTTCTCTAGAGCAACTGGCCTCCTGAGGTGGAGGCTACAGGAAGAAACCACTACCGTGTGCTAATGAACTACAGTTCTCACCCAAGGACTGGGAGGTGACCTAGCTCCTGGAACACTCTGCCCTTGTTCTTAGCCCTCCTTTATGCTCTCCACAGCATGTGGTAGCTGGGGAGGCAATCCCCATCCACAGCTTCAAGAATCACTGCATACAACCAGAGAAGGAGAGCAGATCTTTAACCCACTCCATAGACGGGGGCGGGAGGAGCCTTGTTTAGGAGACCAAGCTAGTAATGGATACCCAGGCTGGAGTCCCAGGGCTCAAAATGTCCCTGACAGGAACAGATGCAGCACTCACTGACGGCTGGGAAACGTGTCTTCCTGAGCAGCCCCTCGTGGTGATAATTCACCCAAGAGCCATTTGAAAAGGGGGCATGTGCGCAACCCACGCAACCTCCAGCCTCCTCTGAGGGAGACCCCGTGTGCTATACGGGCTACCACAGGGCTCCTTGTGAAAGTTCCAGTGCCCTAAGACACTCACTCTGAAACTGGGGGCGGGGGAGGGTGGGGTGGGAAGTGAGCACCTCCAGGACGTAGCTACTTCATTTATAAAGCTGAGGGACACCTAACTAGCAATGTGAAATGGACACACCTAACTCTGTCCAGTGACTGTCCTGGGGAAACTAAAGATAAAGGGACACATACTCACGGCTGCCCTGCCTGGAAGGCTGGGGACCCTGCCGCTCTCTGCACCTGGTGGCTCTCTCCACAGGTGTATGGTGACTCTGCCTGCTTCTGGTAAGTTTGCACCAATATATGCTCAGCTCAGGGCCTTTTCCTGTCACACCCCTGGGAGTCCAGACTTAAGTCCTCACGGCATAAACCTAGGTACCACCTCCTCAGGTGACCTGGTGTCTGAGGGGACAGTGGGACTGCATAGGATGCCTCTTAACACTTTTTATTTCTGTGACACCCATGCCTTCATGTGCATTCTCTCACGGTGTGCATGCACACGTGTGTGCATATGTGAGTATGTATGTGTGCATGTGTATGTGTGTGTATGTAAGTATGTGTGTGTGTAGGTGTGTGTGTGTGTGTCTGTGTGTGTCTGTGTGCGCGTGTGCACAGGGTAAAGATGTGATGCATTGTCTCACATGGTGTGTGTATGTTGGGGAAAACAAATCCCCAAAGCTGTGTGGTCTCTCCTGGCTGTGACCATCTCTGGTAGCGGCATAAGCAGCCCCTACCTCATTTACACATCACCACTCCAGCTATTGGGCCCCTTCTCCAACCTACACAGCCAAACTTTCCCACCCAGTGAGCTCGCTTTCAACTGTTACCAACTAAACCTCTCCCTCAGCCATGCCACGAGGGAGCTGCTACCAGGCCTCAGAGCTGAGTGGTTACGGCTTCACAGAGATGAAGACAAACAGAACCTTCAATGCCTCACTCTGACACCCTCCCCAGCCCTTTATGTCCTGGGAGTTACTGGAGACTCAGAACCCCCCTCCCGTATGGAAGTACAGTCCACTTTTCAACAACACAGGAACTGTGCAGGTAGCTTTGGCGCTGCCCATCAGGTTACCATGGCAATGGAGAAGGCTGAAGAAGCTTCGGATGGAAAGAAGACATCCCGGATCCTGCCCACAAGTTAGAAGAGTGTTCCCAGATACGGTGAGGGCACTTCGCACAACACAAGCAATGAGGAACTGATGAGGGAAAGCCTAAGGAGATGCCAAACCAGGAAACACTCTACCTGGTTTGACCCAGGCTTTCTCTGCGGTTGGACAGGAAGCCACCGAATGCTCACTTATCAGTGGGGTATGTCTTATCACACCCCCAGACACCCATAGGTCGATTGGTGGGGGGGGGGCATGCTGCAGTTAATCGTCATTTCATCCATCAGGAGAGTTGCAAGTCACCCGCATGCAACTTACACACACTCCCTAGTTACACAACGCAAAGATGTTGATCCTGGAAGGTTCTACTGGGTTCCAAATCCTCCTATAATATTCCCTCAGGGCCTTGCCACGTGTAGGAAACTTCCCGATGAGCCACACAGTGAGAGGGGAGAGGGAGCTATAAGTCCAGGAGACTAGCAGTGAGCCCAGCAGCGAACTTACCTCTAGATTGAAACAGCTCTGGCCTCCCAGCCCCTGGCTCCCGGGATCCCCGTCAGCACGCTGCATGGCTCGGAGGCGCAGGCCCTCTCTCTCGTCCCCTCGATCCTGACTGAGCTGCCACTCCAGCTGGTCTCTTAGTTTGGACTGTTAAGCGCATGAAGGGGATTTATTTTGTTTTAAATTTTTAAACCAGAAGCAAAAGACAGAGGGGTAGGGAAGGAGTGGAGGGTAAAAACCAGAGTGGGTAGACAATGGGGGGAAAAAACTACCAGACAGAGTAAAGCATGGATGAAAACAATCAACTTAAACACTTAAGAGAACGGAGAGAACGAGAACAAAACCAAAAGAGGCGTGGACAATAGGATGCGCTAACGTGGAGAGCCGGGCGGAGGGGACGGTTATGCGGAACACTGGTTAGAAGACACATGCGATGCGTGGGGACGCAGGAGCACTACCCATGAAGGAAGGACACAGGAGCACTACCCATGAAGGACACAGGAGTACTACCCATGAAGGAAGGACACAGGAGCACTACCCATGAAGGAAGGACGCAGGAGCACTACCAAGGACACAGGAGCACTACCCATGAAGGACACAGGAGCACTACCCATGAAGGACACAGGAGCACTACCCATGAAGGACACAGGAGCACTACCCCACTACCCATGAAGGAAGGGAGCACTACCCATGAAGGACACAGGAGCACTACCCATGAAGGAAGGACACAGGAGCACTACCCATGAAGGACACAGGGAAGAGGCTCTGCCTTCCTTACTTGTTGAGCAGCCAAAGCCACAGTCCGGGGCGGCAGTTGGGCCATGCACCCGGGGCGAAGCCTGGGAAAGCGGTCCTTGCATGGCTGCTCCCCTTGGCCCTCACCCTGGGCAGCGAGGGAGGGCGGCGGGAGCAAGTGGCAGCGGGATTTTCCGTCAAAACCAGCCTTCTCAGAACAGGCTCCTCTCCCCCGTCCTGGCTTATCTTCCAGAGGGAGTAGGTGGGCCTGGGATGCCTGAGACTTCTCAGAACTGCACTTGTCCCTCTGGTGATAAAACCCAGAGGGAGCCGGGAGTCTGTTACTGAGTCTAAGTGTCCTGCCTGTGACGGGAGTTAGTTGTACTTTGTCTTAAACTCCTCACAGCTTCTTCGTCAGGGTGGCTGCAATGGAAGGCTGCATCGGTCCCTAGTGCCTCCACTGGGCTTAGCCTTGACACAGGAGGCCCTCTAAACCAGGAATATCCGTGCAATTAAAAGAGGAGAACAGGGGAAGGGACGAGGAAATAAAAAGGAACTTATAAAACAAAATTAAAAGAAAGAACAATGAAACCAGCCAAGAGAGAGGATTTGTTTGACGCCGAGGCTTTAGTACAATGCAGGTCTGAAATTAAAACCAAGCAGCCGTGAGCAGTGCGAACGCCAGAGCAGCAAGGCCAGCGAGAAGGAGGAAGAACGAGACGGAGCAGGGAGGCGAAGCCGGGAGCCCCCTTACCTGCAAGTCTGGGCCCAGCTCCTTCCCCAGGGTCCCGATGGGGGAGTCCCGGGACACAGAAGTCACAGTGGAGAGAAAGCTGGAGGACTCTGTGAGGTGGGACAAGGGCGACAGACCGTCCACAATCCGGGTCATCTGCTCCAGGAAGGCTTGTAGCTCCTTCCTGAAAGCCCGCATCTTCACGTTGATGGTCTCCAACAAGTGGGGCTCGTCCTGGCCGCCCTCACCTTCACCTGGGACACCAGGCGAGGCCGACCCACTGCCCCGTCGGCCTGAATCATGGATGAAACCATCCGTGTCAGTGATGAGGCGCTCCACCGTCCGCTCAAGCCGCTGGGCCTCCTGCTTTATGGTCGCCAGGCACTCGGTGTCTTCCCGGACCCTCAGGAGCTCTGCTGGGCACGGCTCGCTGGCCTCTGAAGGCTTTCCGCTCCCGAAGCCTGACGTCTTCTCGCAGACGTCCTCTGAATCACTCTCCCCTCCAACAGGGCCTTCCCGCTTTGGCTGGGGCAGGCGGCCCTCCTCCCCGTCGCTTTCCTTCTTGCCCGTGTCGCTCTCGGCATCACTGTCTCGGGGGCTCGGGGCACGCAGCCCCAGGTGTGCAGCAAGGTCGCACCGCTGGACATTGGACAGCAGCAGCCGGTTCTCATATTGCAGCTTCAGTACCTTCCCGCTCAGCTCATCGATCTGCAGCCTGGCCGACTTGAGCTCCTCCTGCAGGGGAACACTGGCCCCGGGACCCTTAGATACGCTGTCCCCGAGCCACCCTGACGACTCCTGGTGAGGCTCAAACTTGAACTTGCTCAGCTCGTGGGTCAGCCTCCGATTGTGGTCTTCGATCTCGGATATGGACCTCCGCAGCAGCTCGGCTTCTTCCTCCACAAACTGTAGGTGCCGGCGGAGCTCCGCGGAGGACTCCAGCGAGTCCCCGAAGGGTGAGGTAGGAATTCCTGGTGCGTGGTCCCTGCCCGTTCCCTCGCGCTCGTGCTGAACCCGCAAGTCCTCCATCTCTGCCTTGAGGCCACGGTTTTCCACCTCCAGTTCCACGATCTTCCGGCCCAAGATGTTGGCTTCCTCCTCCACCAACTTCAGCCGAAGCTTCAGCTCCGCCTCCCTGGTGCTGGGGGGCCCGCCGGCCTCCCCTGTGGGGAGCGGGCTGTCCACGTCACCGTAGACCGTCTTGTACTTCTGCAGTTCCTGCTCCAGCTCATCCTTCTCCCGCCCTAGCTTGGCCATCTTTTTGCGCATCAGGGAGGCTTCCTCTTTGGCAAACTGAAGCTGGCACTTCAGGTCCGCGCTGTCATCCTGCCAGGTAAGAACGAGGGCTTTTATGATCCCCTCACACCTGGCCCCCAACACACATGCACACACGGGTGCGCACGCACGCACGCACGCACGCACGCACGCACGCCATTCTTCCCGTTGGTGCTGTTGGCTTTTGGAGAGAAGAGAGCCATGACAAAGCAGCAGTGAGCCCCAGAGCCTTTGCAGATGGGGCCCTGGAAAGACCCATCATAGCTCATTGCTTTGTCAAGAAACTGAACAGTTAGTTTTGGGGGAAACCATGCACACAAAAACCACCACGCAAGTTATATATTAAGGAGGAGAAAGTTAAATGAAGTCCAACATGTGTCAGTAACATGGTGGCCCCTTGGTAACTTTGTGAAGCCAGTATGGTTCATCATCGATCCCAGAAAAAAAAAAAGAAATCATCACAATCCCTCATCAAAGCTGGTATAGCGCTAACTAACAGGACTCGGGGACTATATATACCCTGCGGCCACTCTAAACCCTCACATGCCTGACAGTCTGGAAGGTTCCACCAGGAAGGACAGGGAGGCTGAACAAGTGTTAAGTTGGAGCCTAACTTTTCCAGAGTAGCTGAGGCACATGGAATGGGGTAATCCAGCCTCCCTCTTGGCATATCTCCTTCCTCGAGTCTCCCAGAATGACATGAAGATGGAACAAGGAGACGGTGGGCATGGCGGAGCTTTGAAAGTTGAGGTACTACATAAGAACACACACTGACACTGAGCACAGCCACAAGCCCTTGCCGGGGCTCCTGCCCACTTCAGAGCCTTTTATTCCAGGCCTCTGTTTTAGTTGTTGTGACACTGCAGGAAATAAACACAGAGACCAAAGAAATAAGCTAAGTGTTTGCAAATCTGAGAAGTGGTTCTCAGCAGAGTACCAGAGAACTCAGAGGGCTCCCAAGGCAGGCAGACAGTCATGGCCCTTGCCTGACAGAGGGTAAGACAGTCAGCTGCCTTTTCAGTCTTGAAGCATCTGTACTATCTTGGTCTTATGAAACTGTTTTATTCTTTGCGTTCACTAAATAGGAACGGTGAATTTCACAAAGCAGCCCTGTTTGGTTGGCCCCATAAATTCTAAAATATTGGTGGGGGCATGGGTGACGTCTATCTGCAGAGCCTCGCTCATCACATGGAGGAAGAGCTGACACCAGCTCTGAGACTTGCTGCTGCCCAGGCTGTCAGCCATGTGATGGAAGAAGTCAGTCTTCCATGTGTGCCTGGCTGCCGTGCTCCCACTGTGTGTGTCTGGCTGCTGTGCTCCCACTGTGTGTGACTGGCTGCTCTGTTCCCACAGTGTCTGACTGGCTGCTGTGCTCCCACCATGTAGGAGGATCAATGACATTCTTCAGCTCAGAGAATCGCAGCCGCCCTCTGCCACACCCTGGCAGCAAAAGCCATCTGGTAGTAGTGAGACACAGAAACTGCTTCCTTGGTGCCGCCAGCTTGCTGCCTGCCCACTGATGCCTGACCACAAACTCATGGAAGGAGAACTGAGCGACCTGGAAGACACAGAAGAAATCTGCCACCTATGTATGACATGCAGGGTGTCCCGTGGAGCCTTTGTGTATCCTATGAGTGGCACACTCCCTTTGCTGTCCTCTGGGACCTCGTCCCCAACACACACACTTTGATCACTACGGAGAGTGATCTATACGTTACACAGTCTTCAACTTCTAAGAACTTCAAATCCTAAGGATTTAGTTTGGTTTAGGCAGTCCAAAACAAACAAGCAAACAAAAAACAAAAGACAAAAACAAACAAACAAACAAACAAAAAACATAGAGGGTTCCATGACTAACTAAAGTAAGGCTACCTGCCTATTTCTTTTCTTGTTTTGTTTTTTGAGACAGAATTCTTTTGTTTTTTGAGGCACAGTCTCCCTATGTAGTTCTGGCTATCTTAGAACTCTCTACATAGACCAGACTGGCCTTGAACTCACAGAGATCCCCCTGCCTCTGCCTCTTGAGTGCTGGAATTAAAGCCATGTGCCACCATCCCCAGCTGCTGTACTCTTTTAACCACTAGGCAAAAATGAGTTCATAGACTGTGGAATTGGATAGGACTTTCTCAGATAGGACTCCATGCAAGACATGAGGGCATTTAGTGTGCTTGGTCCTGACACTAACGAAGCAACCTGGTCCTTCCCCCATCCATCCATGCATCCATCCACCCACCCATCCACCCACCCATCCACCCACCCATCCACCCCCCCATCCATCCATCCATGCATCCCAGCATCCATCCCCCCATCCATCCATCCACCCCCCCATCGACCCATCCACCCACCCACCCATCCATCCATCCATGCACCCATCCACCCACCCATCCCCCCACCCATCCACCCACCCATCCATCCATCCATGCATCCATCCATCCATCCATGCATCCAAGCATCCATCCACCCATCCATCCATCCACCCACCCATCGACCCATCCACCCATCCACCCATCCATCCACCCATCCATCCACTCATCCATCCATCCACCCACCCATCCATCCATCCACCCACCATCCACCCATCCATCCACCCACCCACCCATCCATCCATCCACCCACCCACCCACCCACCCATCATCCATCCATCCATCCACCCATCCACTCATCCATCCACCCATCCACGCCTCCCTTCACTGTCTATTGAACGTCTGCTGATTAGCATTGATTGGCATGCATTTTTCAACAGCCCGGATTTCTCAGAACATTCTAAAGCAGATCAACAAAAATCGCTTTCCCAGCTTCCTGCTAGACAAGGATGTGCACAGAACCCCACACACTGACAGGTCTCTGCTGTTCCCTCCAAGAAATGGAGTTTAAAAGGAAGCTCCAATACTTATTAATGGAGACAGGTTGTGAATACTTTCTAACCATATTCTTTAGGGAGTTAAATGCAGGAACTGGCAGAACTTAGTCCATCTTTAACTGGGTGACCAGAGTGTGCCCATTGGCCGAAACCCCTAAACAACCCCACCACTACCTCCGAGGCAGACAAGTCCTGCAGCAGAGACTACTGACGAGAATGCCGTTCGGCCAGACCAAGAGAGGTGCAGGGCCATCTGCTGTAACCAATCAGAGGGCCGGCTGGGGCGGATCCTGCCTGGCTCCGGAATCAATTGTCTTGAAACAGGGGCCTAGATCCGGGACTCTGCAATCTCTCTGGGGGCCCAGGTGAACCAACTGACGGGGGAAGCGGGATCCAAGCAGGTTCTGAGACTCCGAAGGCCCCAAGTGTCTGTCATCATTTGCTTATACAAGCAGGGCATCCCAGAGCCCTGCAGTCAGCCTGCCTTCTAGAAAATCTGGACCTCACACTCATCTCCATCCTCCACCTCCAGATCATCCCCAGCACCATTGTCCCGTCTCCTCAAGCCTAGACCAAGGGACAGTCACGGCAATGATTCCACAAACAGCTGAAAAGATGTCCAATCTGTGGAGTGCCTGAAGATGCATCGCTGTACGGTCTTCTTGTCCTTAAAGAGAGAATCTATACAAACAGCAGGCGCTCTGACACACGATGAGGCATGCTGTCATTTCTACCAACACCCATGCACACTGCAAGGCCTGCCACCAGAGAACTAAAGCAGGGGGGAGGAGGGCTGGGGACAGGGAGAGAGAACCCTGCAGCCTGATAAATGAGGGAAGGAAGTGAAGGAGTTGGTCTCCCTCCCTGATGTCATTGCAGCTGAAGCAAGACCTCTGTGGGGTCCATGAGAGACAGGGAGGCGCCCTCTACCCAAAGGAAGCTGAGATCAGCCTGTTCTAAGAGGAGCCCACTCCCAGTGAGACAAGCAGAGCTCCAACAGCTGGTGTCTATATGTTATCAGCTTGTAACCAAAGACTTCTCGAAAACTCTGCCAAGACTCTGGTGGAGGGATCTAGGCTGAATCCAAAACTGGGAATAAAGAGCTTGAGTTTCAAGAGCCCACGAATAGCTCACACACGGTATGAAAGCGCAAGGTCGAACCCCTTTTCCAAGGGAAACTATTCCAACTATGGGCAGAAGAGGCAAGCACAGCATGGGTCAGACACACGGGGACCAGCACCATCACCACAGCCAGGAAGGCTTGTCAAGCAACAGAAATGCATCCCTGCTGGAATACATTCTTTGCCTTGCAAGTCTGCCATCTATCCAGCACCCCAGCAGCTGCCTACGTGCCTACCTGACGCCTTGGTGCCAGCTTCCTTTGGGTTTTGGTGGCCGACCTGCAGTTCCCAGGGTGTTCCACTCCACCATTCTGCTGAATAGAAACTCCTCTCTCAATCACCCTGCAGACTGTGTGGAGCAACTCCACACAGCACGGTTGCTTTGCACACACCCAAGGAGCTACAGCTCCTGTGCCCAGCATGTTACACCCAACCTCCTCAGTCAGGGATTGCTCTTCCAGGGGAAAGCTCTTTGCTGGGCAAGAGGCAGGGAACTAGAAGGGCATTCTAAACTCAGGACCCTAGAAACACCCAGAAGTGGGATGCCTTCAATTTCCCTCTGATGGGTGGATTCTGAAATGAGATTTGGGGGAACTTGTGGGGGTCAAAGAGAAATCATTCTTGTGTTAAGTCATCGAGTGACACTGGTTTTGGAGGACACCGGAGCCAGGGTGTGGTAGTTGGAATGTCCCCCCCAGTCTCTAGCATTGAGCACTTGGTCCCTAGTTGGTGACAGTGCACGGTGAGGTTCAGGAGGAAGGGCACTGGGGACAGGCTTTAAAGGCCTCCTGCCACCCCAGTTCCATCTCTCTACTTCCTGCCTGTGGTTCTTGATGTGAGCTCTCAGCTTGCTGCTCCAGCAGCCATGACTGCTGCTGCCATGTTTCCACTATCTGGATTGATGGTGACGGACTCCTGTCCTTGTAAGCCCAGACAAACTCTTCCTTCCGGAAGCTGCCTTGGCCACAGCTGCCTTATCACAGCAGGAGAAAAGTAACTAACGCACGAGGAAATCATAAAGAGGGGGTTTCCAGAGACGTGCATACGGGTCCTTGAAGCCCTCTTAATAAGCGTGGCTCACTGCATCTCTCTAATAACCACTTGCTATTGAAAGTTTGCTGAAGCTAATCAGCAGTATCACCTTTGTCCTCTCAAATGCCTAATATGAAAATCAGTTTTAGAAAGAGAAAAGGAATCCAGCAAGGCGACCTCAAAAAATCTGGGGAGACTGGAAGAATACATACCCTGTATGTAAAAGAGGGCCGAACTTTCTCAGTTTTCCTGCTAGAATGTCTGACTTCCCAGTAAGTCCCTGTAAGGCCTTGTTCAGCTACGTGTCTAAAGCACACACATTCCAAAACAGTGGCACATAAAATGACCCAACCATCCACTGGCTGCATTATCACACTGTGTGAACGACTGTGAAGGCCACAACACTTTCCAGCAGTTAGGAGAGCGGCCAGACCCCTGGACTACACTCACTACAGCTTCACACAAAGCCAGCTTGTTCTCGTTCCTAAAGAGCCAGCAAGTTATCAGAGCAAGTGAGAGGCAAAAGGCCAGGGCTGTGGAAGTGGTAAGAAAATGTTCACCCTGAGAAGGTTTGGGAATCCCAACGTACTGGCAGGTGATGTTTCTTTTAGTGTCCTAAAGGCAAAGAGGAAATTCAGAACGGGTGGCTTTCTTCTCAGGACTAGAACTTTGGGATGAAAACCTCAGCTTACCTGGCTAACGGTTTTCTTCTCTTTGTATATTTCCCGACTGCCTCTTCTCTTCAGGGAACTCTGAAAAAGATCCAAGTGTCACTTTGTTACTGAGGAGTCACACATGACAGCTGGCACTTATCCCCCCTCGTGGAGCTACTTGATTCTAGATAGGGAATAGAACACCCTACTTCTTGACATTTCAGTGTGTGTGTGTGTGTGTGTGTGTGTGTGTGTGTGTGTGTATGGTGAGGTTATATGTGTTGTTTGGTTTGTGGATAGGGTAAGTAGTTGATATGCTAATTACTGATGCTGGGAAGCATCCCTCTGTTAGTTACTCTGTTTAATGCACAAAGAGGATGGCGTGTATGAATTAACAGTATAGAGAAGGCAAGAAGACATACACAGGACATTTCAGAAACAGATACAAAGTAGTTCTGGAGTTGGCCTATTTCCTCATTACACTAGCTACTATCAAAAATTAATTCTTGTATTCTGAATAGTCAGATTAAAAAGCAGGTTCTACCGATGGAGAAAACATAACTAGGTTGCAGTATTATCGACAACTCAACACCATTAAAGCAATGTCTTAAGGATATTATAAAGCTCTTACAATGTTATTCTTACAAAGTGGCCTTGGCTTGTATGTTGCCTACATCCCACACGGCCAGCGCTCAGTCTCAGGAAGGGATCTCTTTCTAGATCCTGCAGATACCAAACTCTACGGATGCTCAATTATCTTAAATAAATCCTGTAGTGTTTGCACACAACCTATGAACATCCTTGCACATATTCGAATCATCTGTAGATTATTCATAATGGCTAATATAAGCAATACTACACTACTGTTTGGGTAGTGGTAAGAAAAATGTTCTATACACATACATGTTCTGTACACATGCAATTTTTTCCCAAATATTTTCAATGTGCGGCTGGTTGACTGTGCGGATTTGGAGGCCCAGTAAATACATACCATTAGCGCCAGTTAGTGACATCACGAGACACCCTACTTGCTTTACTCAGAAAACTGCATGCATGTGTGAAACACAAACCTGAATGTAACTAAGAGAACCACGGGTGCCTGAAACAGGGATTTGGGACTGCTCTAGCTAAGATAAAGCATGAGAGCGGACAGTAAGAGTGGAGGAGAGCAGCACCCTGGAGGTATGGGAAGGGATTTGGAGTTACGTGGTTTGAGAAGATTCCATTAGCTCTGAGGAAAGCTGCAGCGACTGATTGGAGGGGCAGAGCCCAGCTGGCCAGCCTCTGCAACTCCTCGGGCCATTAGATTCTCCTGACTCCTCTCTCTTCCCTCCCTGGCTCAGCTCAGAGGGTGAGGTGCCCCCTGGGTTTTCTTGGGATGACCTTTGTCCCTTTGTTCCAGAGTCACCATAACTTTGGAGGGAGACTCCTGTGCTTGTGACCTTATCAAGCTTGCTGTAGTCCCTGGTGGGCAGTGGCGGCACACGCCTTTAATCCTAGCACTCGGGAGGCAGAGGCAGGCGGATCTCTGAGTTTGTGGTCAGCCTGGTCTACAGAGTGAGTTCCAGAACAGTTAGGGCTACCTACACAAAGGAACCCTATCTTGAAAACAAACAAACAAAAGCAAACAACACCCCCCCACACACATACACACACACAGGAGAAGTGGCAGCAGTGTGCCGAGCTCATTAACTCAGCACAGTTGCAGTGCTCCCTTGCAGCTACTGTAGAGATTTTAGGTTAAAAAATTCTAAGTCTAGCTATCTCTTATCCCTTAGGAAGGCTGGAGAAGAAAACCAGTAACTGAGACGGGCAAAGGCATCATGAAGGCTGGCCAAGGGGGTGGAGGCACGGTCTCTAAATGCCAGCTCCAGGATTGGGTTGGCTCCCTTACGTAGCTTTTAGAAAAGGCAGGGTGAAGCGGTGTCCTAAGCAGGGCCAGGGAAGCCTGCCTTGGTCTGGGACGAGTTTTCCCATAGCGAGTAGGCTTTCCAGGGCTTTCCTCTTCACCGTGCAGTTAAGGCATCGGTTTATCCGGATGAAGTTTCTGGTGACTCTCTGTCTTGGAGAATTCAAAAGAGCGGCATGGGTGGGGTGGGGGGTGAGGTGGCTCCTGTTCCCTCAGCAGGTCTACCATGGTGATACAATGTATCCATGAGCCAAGGTCTGCCACCAAGAGCCACCCTGAGATTTACCACAGTCTACCACAGCCTCTGCTGTGTGTGGCAGAGGAAAATGAAATGTGTAGATGTGAAATGAAAGCTAGGAGCGGAGGCAAAAGGCAGACTCACTGGGTGCTGGAGGGTGAGGAGGCAGCAGACCCACTGGGTGCTGGAGGGTGAGGAGGCAGCAGACCCACTGGGTGCAGGAGGGTGAGGAGGCAGCAGACCCACTGGGTGCAGGAGGGTGAGGCAGCTGACCCACTGGGTGCAGGAGGGTGAGGCAGCTGACCCACTGGGTGCTGGAGGATGGATCGCACTCGGCGTGAGGCCTGCAGGGAGCCCGTGGGTGGACTCCCCCAGCCCTGTGATCTAACAAACCACAGACAGGCTGGGGATGACGAGACTGGTGAAAAAGACCAAATTCATAATGACAACCAGAGTGGAAGCCACCGCAAGGCTTAACGTTCACCAGAAATCCGCAGAACCCATGACAAGGCAAACATGAAATACTGGTGATCAACAAGGATCGATGATCAATGCTGCCCAGCAGGAAGACGTTATGTAATAGAGGTGAAGCCAGTATCGTTTTGCCTAAATCCTTCCCCCTTCACTATGTAATTTGTGAGACTAATATGCAACGTGTCTATAGCAGGCAACAAGTTATGTGTGTGTGACTGTAGTCAGAATTTCTAACGACTTAACAGTGATTCTAGAATTCATCTAGAACAGGTTGGCAAACTAGAGCTGTGAGGGTGAATTAAACTGCTTGATCTACAAATGTGCCATGAGGATGCAGCCTCTGTTCTTCCCTGATGCTCACACGGCAAAGGCAGAGCTAAGCACTGGAGGCAAACCATCATCACCTGCAAAGCTGAGAGCATTTACCTGCCAGCCCTGCCAGAAAAACTCTAAATCAAGAGCAACAAATTGGTGGAAATAGGCAGGGATACATTGAAAAGGAAACAATGACAGCAGGGTCACACTCGTGGATACAGAAATACAATATGATGCCTTGGTGTGGCAATGAGCTTGCACAGATCAATGGGACAAAACAAAAGGCTTAGAAACAGCATTAGGAGAATATGAGATTTTAGCAATCCACACAGGCAACATTTTAAACCAGTGAGGAAGGAAGGGGCTAGCTGGTGTAAGTCTGTGGGATAACTGTATAAAAATTCTGAGGTAAAAGAAGTAATAAAAAAAGGGGGGCTGGAGTTAAGAACACTGGCTGCTCTTCTAGAGGACCCAAGTTCAATTCCCATAACCCACATGGTGGCTCATGACCATCTGTAACTCTAGGTCCCTCCAACCAAAAAAACAAAAAACAAAAAACAAAAACAAAAAGAAAACAAAATAAAAAACAAAACCAAAAATACCAACCAGAATTTTCTCAAGCTGGGCGAGATGGTGCACACCTTTAGTCCCAGCACTCAGGAGGCAGAGGCAGCTGGATCCTTGAGTTCAAAGCCAGCCTGGTCTATATAGTGAGTTCCAGGACAATCAGGGCTATGTAAAGAAACCCTGCCTTGAAAAACCAACAAAAAAGGAGTTGTTTCATCTATGACACACAATTAAAACAAAGGATTGGATTTTGTTTTTGTTTTTTTTCCTGCTTGGATACTTGGTTTCAGGAAGGACCCACCAAGAGAGGCAGTCCATGAAGAACTGTGGCAGTGGGGGCGGAAGCTGGGCTCTAACCCCAGGGAAATGTCCTGGCACAATGACTTCCCCCTGGGGTGGAGCCGGAGAAGAGATGCTGAGATGCTCAGTTAGAATGCTCTTCACACACAGCACTAAGGAAACGGGCTCTGTGGCGATGCCACAGCCACCTTTCCTTGCCTTTTACCGTGTGCATTTAGTGTGCACAGGACGACATCTGGATACTCATGTAGGCAAGAGGAGTGGTTACTAAGTCAAGCAAGTTAATGCACACAACATCCAGTCACTTTTCTTCATTTTTGTTAGAGTACCTAAAATCTACTCGAGGAAAATCAGCAGTATACAAAACTGCTACACTTAACCAGCCATCTGCCACACTGACCTTCAGATACAATGATGCTTTTGAAAAACAGGGGAGGATACAGGAAATGCTCACCATGTGTGGAAAGGGAAGTGCACGTGATGAACAGCAGCTCCACGGGGTTAAAATACAAACGTCATTGCATTTCAGGTGTAGGTAATGAGGAAAGCGGGTTGAAGGAACACATATTACAACGCTAGTGAACATTTGAGGTGACAGAACTGGCGGCCACTCAATCTCCTTGACGGCTTTTCACAGTCACACAGTATCTATCTGCAGTGTCCGTCACTACCTCTTTTCACAGTCACACAGTATCTGCAGTGCCCGTCACTACCTCTTTTCACAGTCACACAGTATCTGCAGTGCCCGTCACTACCTCTTTTCACAGTCACACAGTATCTGCAGTGCCCGTCACTACCTCTTTTCACAGTCACACAGTATCTATCTGCAGTGTCCGTCACTACCTCTTTTCACAGTCACACAGTATCTATCTGCAGTGTCCGTCACTACCTCTTTTCACAGTCACACAGTATCTATCTGCAGTGTCCGTCACTACCTCTTTTCACAGTCACACAGTATCTATCTGCAGTGTCCGTCACTACCTCTTTTCACAGTCACACAGTATCTGCAGTGCCTGTCACTACTGCTACAATGGCAAAGGCTGAGGGCACTGCAGGATGACTCATGTGCTCAGTGTATGTATGTCAGCCCTCGGGCAGACTCCAGTATCTAAGTAAATGAGAGAAGGCTAGGAAATTAAAACTATACCGAAAGAGCCACAGAAGAAAGGGCTGTCTCTGTCCTCTTGTGCAGGTTCGCAGCAGCAACCTATTGGCCAATTTCCTGGGTCTGACCCGCACACCAAAGTGTGCGGGAGATAGTGTCTTTTATGTGCTTGGTCCTAGCAAGTGAAGTCC